CAGAGGAGCACACAGTGATGTCTAGTACGCTGCAGTAGTTATGCCCCCGTAGAAACGTCGGAGAACCATCATTTAGTATAGTGTAACCATAATCTTCGCATATTTTTACTATAGCAGATCCCCTTACACTACAACGCTCACTACCCCACAATTCATGGTGCGCGTTAAAATCACCACATATAATTATGTGATCATGGTCAGATCTACACACTGCAGCCAACTCTGCGTATGGAACGTTTGCTTGAGGGTGCACGTAAACACTAACTACAGTTACAGTAACGTTACCAAACTTCACCTTGCATCTAACAAATTCCGGCGCATCTGTTTTTGAAGTAGCCACAAGTGTCGACGGAATATCGCGTCTCACACACAACATCACTCTGCTTTTTGCAGCAGGGCGTTCTGCTTGGTACACCACATAATTGGACAAGAGAACGTTAGTGGATACTCTTGTTTCGGAAATACACAAAATCGGAAACCCGTGCTGAGCGACGAATTTCCGAAAATCTCCACTCTTATTCTGCAAACCGTTGCAGCTCAATTGGAATATTGCACTTCTTTTGTACCAGTTAGATAGTCCGGTAGCCATGATTACGACAAGAGAAGATGCTCAACATCTAGCAGCAATTTCACTTCTGGTAAAGAACCTGCTTGTGGCAGGGATCGTAGAATTGCTTTAAGAGCCGCAAAGATTATTGGCAAAATGACTTGCTCGTTTCCAGCTGTCTCCGCCGAGATCGCATTTCTTGAAGAATTTTTCCTCAGCAAGCTGCTGTGACCCTTCCCTTTGGTAGTCAGTGGCTCCTTGGCTGTGTCTGGCCCGGCAGAAAGTTCCACTTCAGCATGTTCCTGGGCCCGGACTTCTTTGCCAACGCGATTTTCTTTGTGCTGAGCGCCTCAATACTTCCGAGTAAGAGTCGTCGCGCCACTGTTTTGCATTTCTTTGTGCCGCAGGAACATCTTCGACTATATCCGCATTGGGTGCTGGACCTCTTTGTATCTTATGGTACCCTTTTACAATTCTCTCTCTTTGTGCCGCTGATGCCAAACGGTTTCGAGAGCAGCCTGAGAACGACGCCGGATGTGGTCCAGCACAGTTGGCACACTTAGGTTGACGCTTCGAGGTGCATTCTTTGTAATCATGTGCGCCCGCACATACCTTGCACCTCTTGGTTCCCCTGCAAGTCTTAGCCTTATGCTCATATCTCTGGCAGTTGTAACACCTTACCGCCGGCTCAATGTATTCCTCGACAGTGTGAACCGTAAAGCCGAGAGCAACTCTTTTTGGCAATGGCATGTCATGTCTAAACTGGAGTATTACATTACGTATGGGCTGCATTGTGGCACTTCCATCTTCATTTCTTGCCCATCTCTTTTGTGTGTGACTGAGATTACTCCAGCATCTTTAAGATATTCCAGTAGGTCATAATCACTGTATTCGAGTGGAACATCTCTTATCTTTGCTAGGGTCTTCATGTAAGACTGAGGTATCATCACATGTACAGGCAATCCAGCCAGACTCTTGATCAGCAGCAACTTGTTTGCCGAGTACAAAGACCGTACTCCAACACAAAAAACTTCCGTCTCTGTTGATTCTTGATGATGTCACTTTCTCATTGATAGCAGAGATTATCGCAGATGCCATGCGATTGGGATTCACCTTCCAGAAGGAGTCCTCGGCAGCGATTGGTCTGAACACCACCGGTATCCCCGTAGCTCGGTTCTTGTGATGGGTGACCACCGTGTAAGCTCCCTCGTCTTCCTTGGGTGCTTCTGTATCCATCTGTGTCATGTCATTAAGGGAGTACGTCGATGTAGCGTCATCGTTGTCAACCTCTTCTTCCTCCTTTGTACGCCTCTTCTTGCACTGCGAGGCCTCGCTGTTCTCTGTATGGGACGTAGATATTGTTGCTGAGCCTGCAGCAACTTGAAGTCGAGCGGGATGGATAAGTGGTGCTCCGCTTGGCGCTAGCGGCCTCTGGTTGTCCCCCATACCCGGGCTTTGCCAGGTATGAGGCACGGGCCCGCTAAGGGGCAATTCTGATCGTGATGCGTAGTGAAACTCCGACTCACCGATGTTTAGCGGCCACTCTGCAGACAGTCCACCCACCGCACACACTGTAAAAAGATCCTGAACTCAATATAATAACTGATTTAAGAGAGCGAAATGAAGCTACGGGCTTCTTCCATTCACTTCTTCTTCCTCCTTCCCGTGTGCTCGTGTGCTCCCGTGTGCTCAGATTTGGGTGAACGTTAAAGAACCAATCGTGGTCAAAATTTCTGGAGCCCTTCACTACGGCGTTTCTCATAATGATATGGGGATTTTAATTGATTGATCGATATGTGGGGTTTAACGTCTCAAAACCACCATATGATTATGAGACGCCGTAGTGGAGGGCTCCGGAAATTTCGACCATCTGGGGTTCTTTAATGTGCACCCAAATCTAAGCACACGATATGGTGATTTTAGGACGTCAAACTCCACATATCAATCAATAACGTGCAACTAAATCTAAGTACACGTACCTCAAACATTTTCGCCTCCATCGAAAATTTTACTTTCCAAGACAAGCATTTGTAACGACTTGACCTTCGAGTTAGCAGTCGAGTGCAATAACTATCTGGACCACCACGGCGGGTCACCTTCAGACAGACTAAAAGAAACTAGTAGGTGCCTTTTTGATTGACGGAAATACTTGTTTTTTTTCTCAAAGACGATAGTCTTTCTTGGGGACCTTCGACGCAAAAGTTTTCATCTGTCTGTCTGTCTGTCTGTCTGTCTGTCTGTCTGTCTGTCTGTACATTTGTGTTTTTGTCTACGCTTAAGGGTACCGGGTACTCTGAACGGCACCAGCCGATACCCCAAACGGCCGACCCCGTCCGCGACGTCCATCAATGTTGCTCAAGATTCAGCGTTCATACTTGCGCGATTGTCAATTAAAAAGCAATTATTGCGCATATCTGAGGTATCATAACAACAAGTATATATTTTGTAAGTGCGTCTTTTACTAGATAAGGCATACATAAGAAATTCTAAGAACCGTAGCGTTTATCACGTTGGGCTGACCATGCAACGCTTGCACGAAAAAGCGAGTGTTTCCAACGCTTTGCTAAGACGACACGGTGGTCGCACCCACCCGTCGCCTTGCGTTCTGTCTTATCATCTCTGAGACGGGTGCGCACGCTCGTCTCAGAGCCACGCGCTTCGTTTTCCAAGAAAACTGCCAGATAGCGCTCGTGTCTCACGTGTGACGTGACCTGATGTGCTCGTTCGCCTCCGCTGCACACTCGAGGCACTCTAACGCAGCACCTCCAGAGTACCATTCACCGGTTTCTTGCGCAGAACATCAAATAAATGTTTTGTTCAATCTCTCCATACGCAAGACTATCGTCTTTCGATGACATTTGCAGATTAACTTGCAGATACGGGGCCAATTTTATTTTCTTTGATTTTGTGGGGTTTAACGTCCCAAAACCACCATTTGATTATGAGAGACGCCGTAGTGGAGGGCTCCGGAAATTTTGACCACCTGGGGTTCTTTAACGTGCACCCAAATCTGAGTACACGGGCCTACAACATTTCCGCCTCCATCGGAAATGCAGCCGCCACAGCCGGGAATCGAACCCGCGACCTGCGGGTCAGCAGCCGAGTACCTTAGCCACTAGACCACCGCGGCGGGGCAATTTTATTTTCTTGCCACAGAACTAAGCTTTAACGGTTCCATTTTCGTTCAGCAGTGTGGCATGCGCGTAGTTTACAGTATACAGCCACCATTTTTATCAGCCTCTTGTTAGTAAGATTTAACAGAAGCCTCATGGCTAACCATCCGCTGGCCAGTGTTGCCAAGTTTTCTACTTCGTGGATGACTTCTGTAGTCTTCATAAAAGTGACCCTTCAATAGGGGAAGTTTTCGGCACATCAAGTGCGAAAACGTGTAACGCTTGAGCTGCCATCCGACAAGATAATATCTTCAGTCCAAGAGTTATCATTTCAGAGTGGAAATTTATGCTGACAACGTCTGATGCCTGGCCCCTCATTTAGCTGACACCTGCTCCCAGCAATAAATAGGCTGTTATTAGTTGATCATCTGTCTTTCACTCTATCAGAATTTTGTGCCTAGCACTGCTAAGTTTGCGCCAATCTCAGAGTGCAATAAAAATATCTATTTTTGTTTGTTTGTGTCGCTTTTTCTACACGGGAATGGTCGTGGCGAAGGTAGCGAAATCAAACCAAATTTAAGTTGGATAAATACTCTCAATAACAAATTCGTTTGGCTTTTGGGTCACCCTCTTCCCCTAATTTTCACTTTCTCAACTTACTGACATCATCTTCCATGAGTAATTTGCATCGTAACTCATCTGCGAACGCACACCGCCTCTTGTGCTTGGCTATGACACCGACTGCGCCTTCAAATCATGCTACCGTACAAGCAATCAATTAACGGTGCGTTACAGCTGGTGATGCTTTCGATGTCAACATTTTCCTCGAATGAATAATTAAAAAACTACTTTGTTTTAACGACGCTTGCGTCTACTTTGTTTTAATGGAGTGTTATTCTGGCCACTGTGAAATGCCGCCATATTGTCAAATTCTGTAATGGGGACATTTAAACCAACTACAGCGCCCTTAGCAGCCCTTTGGACCATCCACTGTTGTGAAGATTGCAATTTTGACTGCATGCTGGAATTCTACAGCGTCCACAGTATTTAGCAAACCTGGTGTGAGCGCAACGACAACTTCCTGTAGGAAATCAGCTTCCGGTATTTTATCTCATACAACCACGTATGGGCCAATGTCGGTTGTATGTTGGCCAATGTCCACTAGTGTTTCTATACTGTTTGTTTAAGTGTACGCTTGTGTTGGATGCTGTTGGCTGAAGTGTGGACAGTGTTTACTGCTGTTGTCTTGTGATGGCAAATGTTTGCAGTTATGACTACAATGCTCCCTTGATACACTATCGGTCCAATGACATCAGTCGTGTACTATTTATTTCTTGCAGTGTACTTGAGCCCCGAGAGAGACGGCGGAAGCGCCCCATGTCCATCATCGGGGATGGCCAGAGGCCACGCCCTTTCTTCTACGTGGCGCACCAGCGCCCCCTGGCGAAGGCGACGGCGATGGTCCCTGGTGCAGTGGCTACTCCCTCCGCTCCTGCTGTTGCTGCTTCAATGCGCTTCGACGGCTGACGCCGGACGGGCCTCGCCCGCAGCGCAGCGGATGAGGCACCGGTCCCACCACTGGGTCACAGGTGAGAGGGTTCCCGTGAGCGTCACGATGCAATGACGTCAACTCACGGGAAAACGGGATATAACGTGAGCTCGGTGTTGGCGTGTGTTGTCCTTTCTGTGCGCTACAGACCTAGTCCATCTTCGTAAACAGCGGTAGGAGAGAAGAAAAAATTATCAGAAAGGTAGGTAGGTTAACTAAACTAAGTCCTCTTTGCTACCCTACACAGGGGAGAAGAAAATGAGGGAGAAAAAGAGAGAGAGGAGGAGATACGCATTGCACGTGACACACAAACCTCACGCACAGTTCAGGTTAGGCGCCGTCGACATACCAAGGTGCTTAAATCGACGTCCCGGTGCGTATATAGGCTCTACCCAGCCCAGAGCTCGTCACCGCTCTCTATGATCACGTTGTACAACTGACACAGAAGCTGCAAGAAGTAAAATAGGAGGAAAAGAATGGTAGGGAGGTTAAACGGCCTATAGGCAGCCGGTTTGCTACCCTGTGCATGGGATGGGGGAGATGAAAGATAGAGAGGAGAGAGGAAATATTCCTCCGAGCACAGGGCCTCGGGGAACTTCCCGCGTGAACATCCCGGAGACTTCCCGATGCGTAACGCTTTAAAACTGCTGTGATTTCGTGTCCATTCGTTAGCTAACAACATCGCAACTTTGTTGAATGCAGGAAGGGTATTTAGTCGACCATCAGTTCAGTTCATTACTGATTTGATTTTCTTTATTACAAAAAACTCCTGCGATTATTCCAAGTGGAAAAAACTAAATTAGTGAAATATAAAGCCTGTTCGCTTGTTATCGTGAAAATAACGCAATAAAAGTTTGAGAACGCTGGGGCTTCGCCTCAAGTGTAAAGTGTTATCGCCTAATCAGGCACAATGTGCATCACTTTCTCAGTCAGTGCCTTCTTCACTGTGCCCATCTCAACCATGTCGCGAAGTGACGAACGTCTGTTAGAGTAACACTGACCGTTCAAAAGTGTCCTTGAATGATAACTGCAATCGCAGTGGGGAAGCGCCCGCTGTGCCACCATTTTTTTTTTCTTTTACGAATAGACGTGCGTCCGTAAGGCAACACGCAAACATACGCAGCTCCTCACTTTGTTGGTGCTTTCGCTGTGTATGATGGGAAAATAGGTCTCAGTGCTTTTCGATGAGCGGGCTTTCGAACCCCTCACTTGTGCAGTTCACATTTCATGGCACCTGGCGCGAATCTATGCGTCTACTACGCCCCACTACTGAGCTAAGGGGCGCCTCGCATCACATGACATATCGTACAAGGTTTTTTTTTTTTGGAAGCAGTTTTGAGTTAATGGCGTGGATCTGCGATAGAACAATTGCTCCTCACGCAGGAGACCTTGGTTTAAACCTCATTCGAACCACATTTATATTATTCATTTATTTACATGTATTACGAATTTTTCCGCGCAGACAACGCTCATTTTTCGCTCGCTACCAACGACGGCGACACTAAGACTTCTGCGAAACGTTATCTTTCACTGTGTCACGGTGAAACTAATTCATTTAGACTATGTTATCTCGTGTGTGAGTGACGCAACTAGTTTCCGCGATATTTCATTAATTGCACGGTACACCTGCTCTTCATCGTGTGCTCTGCATCAGCATCGTCGCGTCAGTTGATCCAGATGTCTCAGTCGGAGCAATGGGCGATGCTTGCGTGATGTAACGGCGTTGATTACGCAATCACGACGACGGGATAGAACGCGTCAGCTACGTGTTCTTCGGTCGCGCGCCGAAGTTTAGGGAGCGAAAGTGTGGCTTGCGTCGCATCGCAACTGTGCGCGCACACTTCGTTTGCAAGAACGAAGGACAACCCTGGCGTGACCCGTTCACTTATTCATGCCAACCGCCGATCGAATGGCGCCGGATTCCAGGCGCGTCGAAGTCTTGGGGACGGTGTATGCGTGCGCACTCGGTCTCCACGCACGAGGTGGGAGAGGAGGGGAGGCTGCCAGCTTGTAACGAGTGGCGAAACAGCGCGCGAATGCGTTATTTTTCATTTTTGCCTTTCTGTGTGGCCCCTAGCGAAGTATACGTGAGTGGAAATTACCCGTACGTTAGGGGCGTCGATACAGGCATCGACCTCATCCTTTGGAAGATTCAGTGGCCCTTCATTCACTTTTTTTCTTTAATATTCTGCAATTCATGGCGTGGAGGTGGTGACAGACACAATCGCGCACGCTATAGCAAGACAACGTTCTAACAGCTATAGCGATTTTCGTGGCTTTCAATGGCAGGCCTTAAATGCGGACCACGCAGCAGTTTCGACCGTTATTACGCAACGCCCTCAACGAGGATCGTCAGGTTTAGAAAAGACGAATCATTCTCTATTGACACAACCCGTGAAAACGATGTTTATAAATGGGCTTCGTTCGCCATTTATTCGCATACAATGTGCCTTTCAGCAGCCGTTCATACAGACGTTGTGGCGAATCCCTCCTCAGTTATTGCAATGGCACTACATATATATACAGATGCTCTGAAACAATGGAGCGCAGTCTTCTGCAACGCATATGACTGAGCGCCTCACTGTGTGTGCGTGATGAGCCGTAGATACACAGCGCACCATTAGCGTTACTCCTGTCTTTTTTTTTTCTTTAGGTTCGTGAGCGAGTCGGTACGCCTGCATACCAACCCGATTTAGAAGTTCTACCGCGTGGATCACAGAGTGTTTTAGTGGCTTCGCGTAGTCAACGCCGACATGCGCAAAGTAGAAAGTTGGTTGACGATTAGGGGCCGTTCTGTGCGGCTTCAAAGCACGCCGCCCTTTTCTGTAAACTGCTATACATCTGCCCAGGCACACAAAAAAGGCGTTGCGCCATATAGCTCGCATGCATTTGCGACATATCTTTTATTTTCCCTTCTGGTTTGTTGGAAACGTTCAAGTAGCACACAGAACACTAGGCCCATCTGCGTTCTCGGCATGGTTGGGACCGCTTAAGAAGATTATGTGAGATTACGTAATGAGTGGTCGCCCGTTTCAAAAAAGGCGAGCTCGTTTCAAATCAGATTATCGCTGTGCTCTAACGAGGGATGCTTCGCATGAACACGCTCAAGAGTGTATCAGAACATGTTAGCGCGCGCTCTGAACTACAGAACTTTGCAACAAGCATTCGTCGTAGCCATGGCAATCTAACGGTAGGTTTCCGTAGAATACAATGTCATTAGTGCGCGTTTGAACGGACTCGCACTTTTGTGAGGGTGGCTGATATGCAGCTCTGCAATCTGCAGATTAGAGTTGGGTGGCTGAAATCACGAAGTTTTTTGTTCGTTAGTGCAATTTGCTACTGTCAACCACCTCCGCTTACAGCAAGTCCAGCATTACGACTGGTTGTAATCTACTGAGTACGTTCAGTTACACCGTAAAAGTGGTCAAACGGTGAATTAAAGCTCTGTGCTGATGTGCATTTTAAAGGTACTTTCATTGTTTGCGTATCTCCGAATAATTTAGAACACGTTTCTATTATTAGCCGCATTTAGGCGCTTTCCTCTTGACACCAAACTTCGTCGCTAAGTAGGTGTCGCTAGCTTTGCGCCATTAATAATACAAATCATACCGTACAAAACATATCAGCACTAACTGCACACACTTCATGAAAATTCGAGGCTATACCTCCAGACAACACCAACAGCCACGGGACACGCTGCTCTTCGCAGCGATTAGTGACCAAACATCCAAGAAATTGAGCATGTTAGCTGACTCCAAGCAGCTCTTCAGAATTTGATATTTACCTTACGTAGCTGATTTTGGCGAACAAGCGGTAATAAAAAGCAATGAACACGATAGCAACGAATTGGAAGGTCACGCGCAGAATGACAAGCAGATCGAAACGTGCCCCGCGTTTCTCACGCACAAAGTACGCATGAAACCTACTCACAGGTACATTTTAACGCGGATAAGCAACTCAGTTGTTATTTCGCTGTGTCTGAAAAGCGCGCCCTTTTCGCAAACGGAGGCTGTGCAACGATTGCAGTGACATTTGTGCGCCTGGTAACTGCAACAGAATCGTTCCGACGAAACTTAAAGGCTAGCTAGGACAAGCAAGGACACGACATCACTTTTCAGTGACTTTCAAGCCACTCTGTCATAATGGGCAACGAAGATGCCGATGCAGTTGCTCGATCAGGACACAAAATTGGCGTACAACTTTCCGCCCCGTTCTCAACAAAAGATGTTGAAATGAAAGCTCGTGAACTTGCAAATGAAGTTACACAAACCTTGTGGGACACGTCAAGTTTACAGCACAGACGTTTTCACAAACTGGACGTGTCTCTTCCACGCACTTAACTCCCATTTTCACTCTACTGATGCGAGACAACGGTGCAATGCACTTCTTGCTTGAATGTGTGACGTTTCAAGTGGCCTAGTGACAGAGGAACGAGAACGCATGCGTAAGGTGATCGAAGGGGCATGCGTAGGATGTACACGTACTATTGGTTTCAAATTTTTTGCGCCTTGACGAAGAGCTACATGCCAAAACCACCGCTACTGCTTTCGCAGGCAAGTCTATGAACAATACAGCTATGTATCGAAACAAAAATCCCTTCTTGATAGTCTTGCCGTGCTCTCCCAAGTGTTCTGATATTGTGCGTGATCGCTGGTCAAATGCTTCTCTTATTTCATATGGTTGATTTGATTGATTGATTGATTGATTGATTGATTGATTGATTGATTGATTGATTGATTGATTGATTGATTGATTGATTGATTGATATGTGGGATTTAACGTCCCAAAACCACCATATGATTATGAGAGACGCCGTAGTGGAGGGCTCCGGCAATTTCGACCTCCTGGGGTTCTTTAACGTGCACCCAAATCTGAGCACACGGGCCTACAACATTTCCGCCTCCACCGGAAATGCAGCCGCCGCAGCCGGGATTTGATCCCGCAACCTGCGGGTCAGCAGCCGAGTACCTTAGCCACTAGACCACTGCGGCGGGGCTGTTTCATATGGTGGGGGACATTGAGGAGAATTTTGGGTCAAAG